GCCTAAAACTACAGATTCTGCTCTCTTTTACATGCTCATAGCAGCCCTGAGACAGGCACATGGCCACAAACACAGAGCCAGCATTTGCTGCAGTGAGGATTTGCAACAGCTTGCGATTTATGGGAGCAAATTAGCCACAGGGCCATCTGTACTTCCCCAGACCGCTGGCCTGCTCCTTGATGGAATGACTGCTTTTCCTTGAGAGGATGTGTATTGAATTACTTACTATTTTTTTTTTTTTAATTAAATAAATGTGGGAACCACAGGTGGTGGAGCAGAGGACAAGTAACTCTCTCAGCAGCATCTGTGGGCCAGCAGTACCCCAGCATGCATTCGGGACAGGTGTTGGCTGCAGGCAGTCTGAACCCCAGACCCATGTGGGGCAGCAGCCCAGGATCTGCCAGCCCACTCGGCCGGACCCCACTGCACCCTGCTGACACCAGCCAGACTTGGTCTTCATGGCAATAGGACCAGAAGTACCACAGCTGGTCTGGCTTGACCACAAACTGTGAGTCCTTTTTTGCCCCCATCTCTTTCATGAGGGTAGTCAAAAACAGGGTGTTTGTTTTTGAGCACCAAAAACCCATCCCTGTGCCACACTGCTGGCTAACCAGCACAAGCAAAGAGCCCACAATACAGGAAGTGTAGAGCACTGGGCTCACAGTTGCTATAGTATTTTGCCCTGTGTTGTCTGGTTTCCAGTGGGACAGGAACTCAGAACTGGGCCTCTGAAGAGAAGGTACAGGATTGGCCTGGACTTCTCCTTCCCTGAAGAGTCATGTTCCTTTTCTCCCGCCCCAGGAAGGAGGGATCACACCAGCCTGCACCCCTTACTCAGGCTCCCAGCTTTGGGCCCATCACGTCTGCTGCTTTGCAAAAGAGGCAAAAAAAAATATTTAGGGAAAACTTCCCATTGTTCAGTGGCTGTACTTGGGGATCCCTGGTGAGCAATAGGGCTGCTGGTGAGGAAGGACAAACTGCTGCTGCAGATGCATTGTTGCAGCATTGGCAGCAATGCCCACATACAGAGTGCACCAACAGCTTCCTCCTGGGGCCACGGGGCACCAAGAACACCATTTCAGAACAGGCCACCTTTCCTGCTTTCTACAACGTTGCAGAGCCTGAGTCAGATTGCCCTCTAGAACAGCATGGATGCTCACCTGGCCTTGCCAGCAGTGAACTCACCCACCTCGACCTCGGGAGAGCCACGACATGTTTTAACTACATACCCTTCCCGAACACCACATCATGCCCCCATCCACAAGCATAGCCTTGAATGGGGGTTACTGCCTGGCCATGCTGATGCCCGGCCTTTTTAAGCTGTGGTTATCCTCGTGCCATCCTCTCCACAGTCAAGCAGGTGCCAAGACACTTGTAAATCACTGAGCAGTGACATTCATTGCACTGCTGAAACCACCAGGACAGCAATGGAAAAGTTTGTGGCTATTTTCAATACAAATAAAAATAAAGGTTGCAAATTACAAAAAATTAAATGGGTATCGCTGGGCTAAGCCAAAATGTTACAATATGGCCTCCTTGGCCTCCCAGTATGTCTTGCCTTGGGCAACCTTTTTCAGCATTGGCTGGTATTTATCAGGAAAGAGATACAGTTATTGCATTTCTGTTTTTCAAATAATTGAGTAATTTAATCTTTTAAGTGCCTCTGAGATCACTTGTAATTAAAGACAGAAGATGAATGACTGAAGTACAAGAGCATTGGAGGACTTTAAAAATGAAAGTGTCCTTGACTACATCTCCTGTGCATTTATGTAATGATGATCCCACATTAATATGACCAAACAGATAAAAGGAGAAAATAATAAGAGCTTGGTTGCATTATTTTTCTTCCAGCCCAATAATAATATATCACCAGCCAGAGGAATGTGCCTGTGAATACCAAGCAGGAGCAACCATGTGCTGCTGAGTGCAGGACCCCACCGCCTCCCGCTGCGAGGTGCAAGGAAAAGCAATATCCGCTCACGGATCCCGCAGCAATGTGGCAGATAAATGAGTTACAAATGTCTATAAAATTCACAAACTTGCATCAGAAGTGGACTTAAAGGCTCAGCAAGTGCTTGGAGAGGCGACTGCAACACTGGCAGCTTCCTTTATGAGCATTTATTTTCTCAGCTTTTGGAAATAAGACCCATCTGATCCTAGTGGAGAGAGAGAGGCAGAAGGATTGCTGCAAAGTAATAAATATCAACAAAAAAATCTGTAGGGCCTGTAAACAGCTTTTTGTCTTCTAAATAAACTATACACCTTGATGTACCTATGTCATACCTTGGTAATTCACTTCCCATTTCATAGCCCAAATGTATATAAATATGTGCCCAAAGGGGGAAGAGGAGGTGATGAGAGCTGGAGCTGGCTCTACTTCATTCTTCATGCAGCACTAAGTCCCTGGACCATGCCTGCCCCAGGCTGCAGAAGCAGCAGCCTTGCACTGCTCAAGGTATCCTCCAGGCTGACCAGAGAGGCTGCAGCCTGCCAAGAAGACCTCCTCACCATCTTGCTCCCCTCCCTTTCCAGGCAGGGCATCTGATGGCCTCCAGCTCAACTGTGCTATTGCCAGACTACAAAATTTTGTCACCTCGTAAAAATTTATAGCACAGGTAGTTTATACCATTACACCTCTTGAACTAAACACTCAGCCAATTCATGGTTCCCTCTGGTGGGAGGAAAACCAGATTTCTTGGATCAGGTGTTGTGTTTGTGCAGCCCTGATGGTTTACAACATTGCTGAGAGCCTGTTACAGAGCCCTGAGCACAGAAGGCAGCAATACATCAGCCAGTTCGCTGCTGAGAGCCAAACTGCCATGTCAGCCAGGATCTCACCAGGGCATACCATTGGCTCTGCTTTTCCTCCAGGTCCCAGAGTATGTCTTGCCTGGGAGGTGCTGCTCTGGCTTGGGACATGCACCCCAGAAAGGGACAGCCCCGAGGGAAGTTTTGTCTTAGAAGCTCCTGAGAGCTGAACAGGTGGGACTGAGAAGTTTCTACTCAGGTCTTCTCATCCCCTGCAAGGGTTGATCCCATAAAAAAAAAAAAAAATCAGAAGTACATTATACATCTGAGGTTATGGGGGAAGTGTTAAAACTCATTTTTCCCTGAAAAACACAAAAACAAACAAACAAAAAAAAGAAAACCAACAAAGTTTTGTGTATTATTCTTCGTAAGGAAGAAAACGTTTCTACTAACAGGAAAGAACTAAAGTAGAAACTAATCCCACTTGCTGTGAATTTGTAGTATTTAGAAAAAATCATTGCTGTCATTCCCGCTGCTTTGTTCAGTGCCAATGACAGTGACCACCTCTCCTGCACTTCAGACTCCCATGGACCTCCTGGGACTTGGACCAGAAACACATTTGGGTGACCTCAGGAGAGCTGGGATCATATAACAATGCTTCACCATATGGTGTTGTGAATAATTCTTGTGATGAGAAAAAGGCTTTTGACAGTTAAATTCATCATGTAGGAGGTATGTCATTAAGGGAGAAATATGTCATTAAGGGAGGCAGGGAGTTTTCAGAGTAGATTCTTTTTAAAAAAAATTTTAATTTTTTAACAAAGAATATTTGAAGTCCCATGGCCCATTCCCACAGAAGGGGACTGCTCACTCAACTCTCAGAGCAAGGAACTCACACATCTTCTTGTGCCTGTAGCTTTTCTGCCCTACTTTAGTATTTTCCCTGGCTTCTCTCTGCCTCGCTGGCACTTTTGCCACTCCTTCAGAAACACAGAAAACATTACAAAATAATAGCCAGCAACATGTCAGCACCCACAAGTGTCCTGGCTGCAGGCTGCTGTTATTTCAACTTTCTGGTTTCTTAAAAATATTAATTTTCTCAGAACTGTTTGACAGTGGTGTTCCTGTTCAACTAGTCAGGAAAAATAAAAAGGGTGGGCTTAACAAGCCCACATCAGCTATAGCCTTAAGATGGCTGGTGAAAGGTGGTGGTTTGGCAATTCATGAGTGGTACATCCAAGACAGGAAGAGCCTTCTCTTTTCTTTTCCATGCCTCCTTTTCTTGGCCTTGCTTGAGTGAAGGAGGAACAGGAATGAACTTTCTCTGCTGAAGCTGAAGTCTGGCACTTAAAACTGACTTCTTCACCCTGAATAAGGGCATTTTCACCTAAGCAGTTTTTGCAAGCAGAATGAACAGATAAAGTTTTCTAAGTGACTCGAAAGCAACACAATACAGTGCATACAAAAAAGGGTAAGTTGGGTGTTTAAACATACTTGGACTTATATGGTCCCTGTCCTATTCATTGGTTTTGTCCATTTCTGTTCCCACTTCCTTTAGTCTTGACATTTCTATTCCTTAAGACGTTTAACAAAGATGCCACAAACTCAATGCTTGGTGCACAGCTATGCTGACAAAATCCCTCAAGCCTGTGAGTAACTCTACTGGAATAGAAGAATTGTCAAATTTACTGCAGTGTTACTATGGAATAAGCTATTGCACCAAAATACTCTTATACTGGTATGGTTACTTCCATAGGTTTTCTAAATAGAAACAGTGACTTTAAGAAAAAAATAATTCAAATAACAAAAACCCCTCCAAACCCCTCCAAACCCCTGGGTCTGTTGGAAAAACATCTGTTTAGCCACAGGCCCCAGCAATCTCCAACAAAAGTTACAGTTATTTATGTGGCACTGGAAAAACAAACAGCAACATGAACTCCTTGCAGAGTTATCATAATAGCCTCTCCTGAGGTACTCTGTACTTCATGCTGCAGGCAGAGAAACTAGACAGATTAAACAGTAAGATCATGTTACAATTTGTTACATTCAGTATCTTTATTTCACTTCTGAGATTGTTATAAAAACAATAGAACATTCATCCTGTCATTTACAAAGACATTCTTCCCACAGTTACTCTGCACAATCTTTTCAAGAAATAAACCAGAAGCTTTGCACTCACATCACAAAAATATTTTGAATAAAAATACAATTTTGTATTTTACAACATGTTTAATCTGAAGCATTGAGTAAACTGGTAACAACATTTCATTCTAGAAACACAGTTAAAAATAAAGTAGTCTACCTAAGAAACTGCATGTTAAACATGCAGAGCCCTGTTGCTCTTCAGAAAATAAACCACCATCCTCCACCAAGCTGTCTTTGCAGACTGACTATGGAGTCCCCTCTGCTCAAAGTCCTCGCTACTGTCGGCATTTCTGCCCTGGATGCACAGATGGGGGAAGTGCCAGATCACTGCTCACATATGAGCACTGAAGGGAGCAAGTGCCCCACAGCCCACGGCTGGATTGCAGGAGGTGATTACCGCATCGGTTTGCACAAGCACACGGCGGATCTCCTTGAACGGGTGTGCAGTCTTTGCCTATTCAGGGGCTTCTTTGTAAGTGAAGGGTGAGGTTTTTTTAGAAGATTTGACAGGAAACTCACACTGGACCCTGATTACACAAAATGAGGCAGATTCCCAAGGCAAAACCATACCACTATCTCCATCAGACCAGCGTGTATTTTCCGTAGCCCATCATTATGCAATTCGCTGTCTGAGAGCTGCACACTGCCATGCACAGGCAGCACCACAGGCAGGATGCTTAGGAGAAGGCTTTGGCAACTGCTGTGCCCAGCTCAAGCCAGTCACTACTCTGCAGCAATATTTAAAAACTGTTCTGAAGGCAATTGCACCAAAGGCTGCGTTAGTTCCACGGGTCACGGCACCATGAGATGATACGATTATACAGCAACAAATCCCAATTTACCTACAAATTAGATATCCAGCTGGTGCCATCTGCCTGTCAGTGGTTACATATCACCCAGCCTCTATGGGAAGAGCCTGCCGGGTCTCCTCCGTGCTGGGGCTGCTTTTTCACACACTGTGCTGTGGCTGGGCCATTCCACAGCACGCAGCAGAGACTGGATGAATGGTAACTGCTAGTGAAGCAGCAGGACAGACCAGTGCCCACCAGCATGGCACCTGCACTCTTCCAGATTTGCCCTGCCCAGGCCCCTTGAATCCCCTCAAACTCAGGGGAGGTATGTATGCCTGGCTTCTCAGAAAGACCAGGCTCAGACTCATTTTGTATTACCAACAGCAAAATATATAACATACACACACACACACATGTAACAAATAAGTTGGGCGTGACCTGGGTCCATTTTGTGTTAAATGAATATCACATTTTGTTACATACTGCAAAGGCATCTGACTGCTGGTGTAATGCATTGCAAGGTGATTCATGGCCATGCCATAGAGAAAGCCATTTGGCATTTCATATATTTAGGGAGAGCTATTTCTTCTCCACAGTGCACCAGGCACCAACAAATAAATATACAGCAGTTTGAAATGTTCTCTTCTTCAGCAAATCCTATCAGTCTATAAATAATTTTTATACGTTTTTTAATACTTCATCACTTACACTGAATTTTTGACCTTAATCTCAATACCAAAATATACATTAATGCAAAGAGAGACCATTTTAAGACTAGATCTAGAGGACAAATATATTAATCATTATGATAAGATACTAATTCTTTTCTATTTCTATGCATAATTCAAGAAAAATATAATCTTAAATTACAAATTAAAATAGTATTTCATAGGTAAGTTTTAATTTACAGTATAGAATCATAGAATCAGAGTTTTCAGATTAAAAGGAACCCTGGGAGGTCATTTAGTCATCTTCTAGTAATCTAGTAGATAAACATCACATTAAATACAGCATAATCAGCTTTAGTAGATAAATAATTCTTAATTAACACAAAGCACATTTCCTTTAAAATATTCTTTCCAGTGAGTGACATCATTCACATAGCAATAAAAATACAATTATAGCTGAAGGCAATGCAGGCCTAGAGTTCAGAGAACGGAGAAAAATGACCACACTGCTTTATACTGAGGACCCTCCTAATGCAGTAATTCACAAGGCAGGCAAAATAACATGGGACTTTTTCCCATTCTCTCTCTACTTCTACTAATAAAAAATTATGCTAATACTTTGCTATTTTATCTTGCTGAGAGAAAAACAAGAGGCCCTCAGACATTCAATAATACTTTGGGATGAAATGCTGCCAGGGCCAGTTGCTCAAAGGAGAACCTCCAACCAGCTTGTAAGAGGCTTGGACCAACAGCTCCACAGACTCAGACCCTGGCAAAAGCAGCAATAAAGTGCTGGACTACTACACCAAAATACTGGGAGTTAAAGTCTCTGCGCTCAACACAAATGGCACGCAGAGACCATCCTACTAAGTTACCACAAGTTTCCAGCAGGTAAGTAGCCAGGTAGCAGCAGAGTGACAGCTCTGTGCAACTTGCTCTGAGGAGGAATGGGGTGCCCTAGGCCTGCCATGTCCCTGGGTACAGGGCAACAGGGTACAGGGTCAGGCATGCAGCTTTCTGCCAACTGAAAGACATCCCAGTTCCTGCTCTTTGCTTTTTTTTTTTTCTGAGCAAATCAAAGAGAAGCCCTTCCCATCTCTTCCCAGCAAGATGGCATGACCCCTGAAATCCCCAGACATATTCCTGCTTCTTTTCCCCCAAGAAAGACACAGTTCCTTTAGCTGAAGTTCCCCACTGGCATCCTGAAGTCAGATGCAGCCTCAGTAGTAGTTAACTGATTTACCCAGAGTTCCCAGCAGCACAGACTCATTTCCCCCTGCTCCTCTCCCTGCATCTGCTTTAGGAAAGGAGGTGTTCTTTACCCTGGCACTGCTTTGTGCAATTCTCTCCCATCTTTCTTCTCAGTCACAATCCCTGCTCCAGTCAGGTTCTGGTTCTGCTTAAGCAACATCAGCATTAAACCCTAATATGGAAAAGTAAGCCATTTTGTTTCAACCCAGTCTTCTCTTGGAGAATTTGACATTCAGACTCTTCCATCACCCCACATTTTCAAAATATACTTAAACCTGTCCAACTCAGCAAGGCAAAACCAAGAAGGGGAAAACATCTGCTCAACAAAAGGTTCCAGGGAAAATTGTGATACAACTCCAACCACAGGAATTAAGGACTGGTCATAAACCAAATGTACTAAACCAGAGAAAATTATTTCTGGAAGCCATATGCTAGCAATCTCTTCTCAATGTCAATGTCCTGCAGTATCAGGCAATGTAAATGCTGAAGCAATCAGCAATTGTGCACTTATTTCAGATTTCCCACAGGGATGCAAGAAAAAGGACAGTGAGTGATGTATTCAAAGGGGCAGCTCTATTTATACCTTCTTTCTACCCTCTTGGAGTAGTAAGTAATGAAGAATATAGTAACAATAAAAGCAACAAATATGAAAGAGATAAAGGCTAATAATGACTTTCTGGTTCGGAAGAAGTGGCATTCAGGACACGAGACAACCTGTTCTGGACACAGCAACTCAGGAGTTTTAGGACCAGGAAAACCATTATTGTCAATTATTTCTCTGTAATGTTTCATAGAAGGCTTTGGTTCATATTGATTTGCAACGTAACTGTAGAGACCATATTTAGGAGCAGTCTTGTCATTAAAAGAATAGACAAAATATCCTTGCAGGTTAACGTTATCCAAGGTGTAAGCTGCAAAAGAAAACAAAGGGTTGAAGCAATGAATCAATGTCACTTTGGCATTCAAGAGCAGTACCATATGCCCATACATAAAGGAGGGTCAGGGGGATGTTAAACCCACATCTGCACTTCTCCTTCCCAAAATAAGGTAAGGTACAAGTACATCTGTGAAGTGTTTCTCATAAAAAGTAAGAATCTGTCAGCCATTGCCAGACAGTGTGATCTGTGAGTATCCTGCAATTTATTTCCCTGTGCTTGGTAAACACAGCTGTGAGTGCCTGACTGTGTGTAACGATCAGCACGGAGCCTATCATGAAAAGATGGCTCTTTGTTATGCATGAAAGAATGCAGGTTTGGAGTTCCCTGCACCTACACTTCTGCAGCCTGTGCCTCTGATTGCTCCTTCTCCCTTTGCAGGGCACCTCCGGATGGGGACAGTCAAGGAACTGAGGACGTCAGGCTGCACTTCTCACTAGCAAAGGCACAGTGACACAAGAAAAAGATGTGCACCCATGCTGAGGTCATGTACTGGGATATCACCAGTGCAAGTGGAAAGGTTAGGCAAATCACAGCCCTCTCTTGTTATTGACCAAAGTTTCTGATCCAAGATGACCTGTATTAGTCTTTATTGAGAACATGTCCACAATCCATACTGCTAACTCAGCTACTGGAAGAGGTCCAGCACCTGGAGTGTTAACCTTGAGCCATCCATCCCGCTTGACAAAAACAATCAATCCAAGGTAGTAAACGCAAAGTGTAATACTTTATCTCTCAAATCACTGTTTTAACAAATTAAAGGAACATCTAGCAGATGAACACGGGACTGAAAGTTAACAAATGATGAATTTTCATACACCTCTGGAAATAATTTTCTGCGGCCACATGCAAGATATTTAGCATGTCTAATGTACTTTTCACATCTAAAATGAAATAATATTTACCTGCCCTTTTACAGAGCTGCTACCCTGGATAATTAGTTTGTGTTTTAGAGCTGCAGGTGGATTTAATGGTGTTACATAAATGGTTACTGCTGGTTTTTGTTTTCAATTGGCAAAGATGAACTTAAACAGGGTACAAAGCACTTCAAAATACAGCCTCAGTCTAAAGGGTCCTGTACTGCATTCTGGAATCATTTATCTGCACAAACCTGTTGGCTCACCTGGAACAATGCAGGTGAGCAACATTACATGCACAAATATTTCCACATGCAGTCCCTGAAACCAGCTGGAGAAAGAAGGCACAACAGGGACTTTACGAGAAGAGCATACATGTACCAAATCCCCTATTATTCCTCTACAGTGTGACACTGAGGTAAGGACACAAGATTTGTAATCCACCTTCGTTACTGCACAGGGTCTTGCAGAAAAAAAATGCAAGTCTTGGAGAAACCTGAATCAGTCATGATGCCAAGGTCATGTAATGACAAGAAGGACAAAAGCACCAAAAGCACAATACCAGAGCTGATGGACCAAACACTACAGAGGAGTGTATGCTGTCTAAAGTGGGAGAGTGATGGCTAGTTAGCAGGGATATATTTATCCATGACAAAGAAGGTAAAAAGATAGGAACATAGTGATGCTTAGGCTGAAAAACACAGGAGCTATTTACAATCTGGACAGAAGTGGGGAGAAAGAAGTGACTGGGGGGATATTGTACCAGAACAGTACAAATGGCAAAGTTCTGTAAAAAACAGGGAGATGAGCAGGTGTTCTCACAAATGGGAACTGGGAGAAAAACTCATATCCATAGGTACTTTGAAAACAGAAGTGCCAAGAACTGGTATGGTCTAAAGTGGTAGGAAGGAGAGACAAGCAATACAGAAGAAACGGTTTGAAACCACAAGCCCAAATATAGCCCAAAGATACGTTTTTTAACTATAGATGTACAAAATATGCAGTCAATGCTGCAAAATGCTGGAGAATGAAATTTTGAGCACTTGATATTAAATTCAGTAATTTGTGAAAGAGGTGGAAATTACAGAGGAGGAAGTTAAAGCCAATACTTAATGGAGCGGGCAGGATGACCTAGCAAATTATGGAACTGCCAGACATCCTTCACTACCTATCAAAAGAGTGGAACAGATTATATAAGGCTTGATAAATAAGAATTACAGGAGATAATACATGATTCATGCCAATGAGCTTTACCTTATGGAAAATAAAACTTGTCAGACTAACTTGACATCTTTTTTATGAGATCAGCCGATCAATAAAGTAATGATGTTTTAAGTTATATACTTAGAACTTCACAAGGCAACTGACTTGGTATTATATGGCATTTAGATCAAGAAAATAGAGTGTTTTAAGGTCAAGGGGAGCCCATAATAAACAGATTTCAACTGGTCTCAAACAGAAGTAATAAGTCAGTCTAGAAATGCAATTGGAGGTAAGTAAGTGTCACAGTAGGTAAATTTCTACCATGATCATGGAGATTGGCTTTTAGCACTGAGTTATTTAATGATCTTAAATATATCAGCAACCTGAAAGAAATGTAAAACTATTTCTCACGAAGTTGCAAATAACACAAAGATTAGAGACATAATTCAGCAAGTGTTGCAAGGTTTGCACAAGCAAGCAGCTGGCATTTGAAATAACCAAATGTGAAGATGTCAAAGAACAAGCAGACCTACTTTGGCAGAGGCAGTTCTGCTTGGTGGGGGTGGGGAAAGATTTCTGCCTCTGTTTTAAAGTTTAAAATCTCAGTAAATCACCACAGAGTGTGTGTAACCAACATGCTGTCATGGTCAAAAGGGCTAATGACCTGCTTGGATGTAGGAAAGAGGACGGTAAGAGGTTACATTATACCTGCCTGAGATATAAGTGTGGCTATGGCAGGAATGGTGTGTCCAGGTCTGGGTTTACCCCTCTCATAAGGAACACTGGCACACAGGGAAAAGCTTAATAATTCACAAGTTTGAAATGATGTTTTATAGCAAGGGACACAAAGAGCTTTGTCTGTATTATCTATCAAAGAGATAAATGAGGGATAGCTTGTCTTCTGTCTGTGAATACCTACAAAAGTAAAATACATGTGGAAATGCATAACAAAAATTGCTTAAAGATGAAGCTAAAGAAATTAATACTAGAAGCAAGATTTATCTATATCTGTACACACACTACAACAGCTTATAGTGAGGTGCAGAAGATTCTTCCTCAGTAAAAATTATCTCATTTGGTCTTGCGCTTTTCGGGAAAAACAGCACGTGTTGTATGACAGGATGACTCAAAATGCCTCCTTTTTGCCTTATAATTTACAAATCTTTGAGACAGAGAAAAAGACTGGTTTGTGTTCTGAATAGCAGGAAACAGTCCAGGAAACGGCATAATGAGGTAGACAGCTGAATTATTATGAAGATTACTGTTGGATAAGATCACTGTTGGATAAGATACAGAGACAGCTGAGGAACAGAACTCTTACTCAGCCCTGAGGCACATCAGTGGAGAGAGGCAACAAAGCAAAGCAACAGTAGAAGTGCGATAAGATGAAATACTGACTAAATACATGTGGAGCTACTCACAAAACATGTATTTTAATTTATTGAATCCATAGAAAAGTTCTTCTGCTGTCTTATGCAGAATATGAGCAAGGTCAGTCTTCCTTATGTTTAGTAACACCAATCAATCATAAATCAAGTGGAAAACTATCTGTTATGCTGTCGTAACATTTTATTTATGAAGTATTCGACAGAGGACTTTTTTTTTTAAGTTAAACATCCTCTATCACACCATGTACATTAATATAATAGTGGGATTTGTGACTTATAAACTGCCTATGGTTCCTTACCTTTTAAAGCTTCATTGATGTAATTCTGTATGTAATACACTCGGAGCTTATCATGCACTGTATTTTGGTCATCGTCGATTCCATTAGCCATAACATAAATTGGGATATCGCCATACTTTGATTTAACCCACATGAGCAATTTACGCAGTCCCCAGGGCACTACTGCAGCTCTGCTGGGAGAGTGGAGCCATGTGATGTCATTGATCATTTGAACTTCAAGGTAGTGGTCGTATTTTACTGCATCTTCTTTCTCCGAGCCCACAAGGGTAGTAGTGTAGTGACTCAAGGCAAAGAAATCAAATGAGCCCTGTATTAACTTCTTTTCGTCTTCTGAGAAATAAGGCAAGTGAAAATTATACAGGTCAACACTGTTTATTCGGTGAAGCCATGCTCTCATTACCTCTGGGTAGTCACCATTCCCAAAGATGGGCTCCGCAAGCCAGCCAATGTCGAACTCTAAAATTCTGTCAGCAACTTCTTGGTCATTCCTGGAAAAGGGACAAGCTGGTTCTACCCAGTCAGCTTGCAAAGCTATAGATATTTTACCCTTCTGAGATCTCCTGAATTCTTTGTCATAAAGACGCCATACTTGCGCATGGGCTTTCAAAAGGTTGTGCCCTGCGGTATATGTCAGGTTTTTCACAGACGGTTCATTCATGGTGATCCAAAATTTGACATGGTCCCCAAGACTTGTAAAGCAGAATCTGGCATACTCAACAAAAGCCTGAACAGTTTCTGTGTTTTCCCAAGCTCCATATTTGGCAAGGGAAACCGGAAGCTCTTGATTCTCAATCATAGGTTGCCATAAAGCAACAACAGGAGTTATGTTAACTCTGAGAAGTTCACTAGCAAAACACTGATAATAATGTACAAGTGTATGGTTGATTAGAGAAAGGTTACCTAAAGGAAGGATTAAAGACCATTTCAGTGAAAAATGGAAGTGAGTGACATGCATTTCTTGCAGAAGAGAGATCTGGAGCCTGATAGCAGCAAAGTCAACACACTGACGCCTGCGTTTCGAGGTGTAAACTCCATCCACTTTAATAAGCTTCTTCGTCTGGTGAACATCCCACACATAAACACTAGAGTCAAGAAACTGGGCAGGTGTCGTGTCTACCTAGGTAGAATAAGAAACATACCAAATTCAAGCTGTTTGAACTAGGTAGGTGGGAACATCATAACCATCAGGCACAACAAGTAAAAGAAAATTTTAAGTCAAAAAATTGTATTTAGCATCTCTGATACTGGCATATGAATGGGCTTATATGAATGAATTAATTTTCTATTAACATGTGAGGTCAGCAAAGTACCAAATCTATGTATCATTTTCACCCTACTTTTCAAACAAACTTATGCTAATGGTCACCATGTTTATATCTTCTCCAAGTTGTTCCAGTTTGCATAAGAAACAAGTGATTGATCAGGGATAAGGCACTAAGCCTGTGACAGATCTCCAGAGAAGCAGACCTTCAGTCAAGACTACAGTAATTTTTAAAATGTTTTTCTTTCAAGATTAAGAAAGGCCTACAGAGAGACTGTCTGTTGTAAATTACCCAGTACATTCAGTTTCAAGATCACTCCCTGAATGCAGTAAAAGAATGAATGCAACATCACTTCTCTGTTCTGTTCTTTTCCTGACTATGATGAAAGATGAGTAATGCTCTGCACTTGATTTTAGCACAAATTCAGTGACAAGCAAAATTTTTCCTTCTTGCTAAAGACATCCTTTTTTATTTAACTCATACTGAACTCATTTCCCAGCTATTTCAGCAGGCTGTTGGTAATTGAATCAATTTTGTTTTGGGCCTCTGAGAAAACCCACTATATGTCACTCCAACAAAAAAAAAGCACTTCCCATAAGGCTTTAGAGTTTCAAATGTCAGAACTGCCTGTATGACATATTAATACAGCAGAAGATTATCTTCTCAGGGTCATTCAGAATTATACCTTCACTTTTTAATGAACATCACCAACACAGTAAGGACTAGAAAACAAAAAGTTCAATTACTTAAAATAACACCCAGCGTAAAATCTCCTCAGTCGTACTTTGGGTAACTCTTTCTAGATCCAAACCACAGGATACTAGTACCACATGCCTTTATTTGTCCTCTTCTCTTTTCAACCTTTGGTGTGTGATTCCCCCTGAGTTCAGATTTCCTTGTCCTGCCCTCTGTTTGAAAAGCAGGTGTCAGCCTACAACCAGTGTTCAACTTGTAGCTCAGGCTCTGCAAACTGTGTAAAGAAGCTGCTGAAAATCAGTTGCTATTTTCTCCGGAGAGGTCAGTACTGTGCTTATAGAAGAAAGTAATAAAAACCAGCATGTCTGAGGGAAATTGCTTTTCTGGAGAATTGTCCCTTGTAGATTACTAAAGCATGCATTTCCACTAATACTGTGGGAATGCTGTCAAAACAGTTTTTCCACTGTGATGCATCTACAAATCACACTACCTAAGCCTTACAGCACAAAATGTTTGAATGGCCTTCTGAAATGAAAATATTCAGCTTTGGAGGTTTTAGGGATGGGAGGGATTTTTTTAACTGTCGTAGGCTGACTGACTCCGCAACTTCATAGTTGCTATTGATTCCAAAAGCAGCAATTCCACTTCCAATTCTTAATCTATCTGAGAGCTAGGAGGATAATGACTTGAATTTTCTTGGAAATCAGTGCACCAGGTAAGGAAGCTGCAGTATTTTTCAAGAGAAAACAGTCAGATCTTATTTCTGGAGTGAGAAAAAACAAATAAGCCCCTCACACTCTAGCCTTAAGAAAGATTCTGTCTTTGTGGAAAATGTAAACTAAAAATTCTGTTCTTGGATCAAGCCTTTGAATTTACACCTCTTTACTGTGGTTAGAAAAGCCCTGCAAGCCAAAATAGCATCTGAGAATTACAGAGCAAAACAGTTAAAGAGATCGTAACTAAGCTACAGTTTTTATTCATGCTATAAAGTCTTAAAATTTGAAAGATTCTCCCAAAGTATCAAATTAGTTGAAATAAAGAGCAAGAGCTGTGAATTGGATCCATAATCTAGCTAGGTGCTATCCAGGGGCACTGCAGGCCTCTATCAGACACAGTATGACATAAAATTAAAAGGAAGGAATACAGAAATTTCACCTAAATCTTTTTTACTTCCTTTTACACAAAATCACTCTAATGACAGCATCAGGATATATATGTACAAGATGTAGAAACACATCACTGGAATTTTAAGAGTTTTCAGGAAGTTTTCTAAAACATATATACACTTCAGCAGTTTTAATCAACTTCCCTTTGAAAAGAACTGACTTCCTGTAGCAGATAACATATGTCCAGGGAAGATGAGCATCAGACCACTTTTCACTTCTGTAAGTTTTTCTAAGATGTTATTGTATCTCAATCTGACTGGTTCTCTTTGGTCAAACACAGAAAGCCTGGTGAAGAGGGAAAGACACAGTGTTTGGCACAAAACCCTTGTACTCATCTCCTTGCAGCACTGGTATGTGGTAATACATACTGGCAAAGACACTCTATTCAGCAAATGTATCACTATGAACTCGTGCACTGATCTGGCTGGACAGTCTGCTGCCTTTACTATCAGACTCACCTGAATGTAGTTGTCAACAACTCCCCAGGCAAAGCCGCACGGAAAAATACCTTCTATGGGCTGGTTTTCAGGCAAAGGTGGGAACCCATTTTTTTGTATCAGCTTTTGATAGAATAAAAGAGAAGATTTGGGCATCAGCTTCTTGTCATGGCTTTGAAAATCAACATAAAACAATCCACGTCGAATGCTGTATCCCCTGTGCCACTCAAAGCCATCCAGGAGGGACCAGACTGTGTAGCCAAACACATTAACTCCATCATACCGGACAGCTGAGGAAAGAACAAACCCAAATTTATCGTAGTGCTCGTTTTTCCTCTGTACATTACACTGGATCAGCAATGTTTGCTGCATTCTTGTGTAAGAACAATGCAATAGGTCAGATGAGTACTCAGGGCCTGCCTCAAAGCCTTTTCAGGGAAGATATTTCAACTGCACTCAAGGAGCCGCCAGGTTATGGGTGCACCGTGCAAGGCAGCAGAGGTACCTGGCTTGGCTTTAAATAAGCAAGATTTAGAAAGAGCAGCCATGCAGCAGTGGTTTGAGCAGTGCTGCTAATTAGGTAAGCTCTCCTTAGAGCAGAGCATGCTGCACCTGAACCATCTGCAGCAACTGAACTGGTGACTGCGCTGCACTGCCCTCTGCTAATCACACACTGCAGCTCACACCCAGGGAGCTTAAGTGCCCTTACTGCAGCACTACTCTGCATGCAAACAAAAGTTATACTCTTTTGTTTTTTCTCCTCCCCCTCCCGCCACAACAAATACGTATTGAGAAAACCCTGACAGCACTCTTGGTGTGCTCACGAATTTTTAAAACCACAGAATTTAAGTAGAAATGATAATGCAGGAAGACTCTGTTTATTTGATAATTCTGTCTTTTAACATCTTTTATGGAATAGCATTTTCCAGTTTAAATATTTAAGAATGTCTAAAAATATGCATATGTTCTAGGTCAACTGTTTGACTTCTAAGAATTACCACACACTGAAGGTTAACAGCAGGGTCTACTGGCATCTGTTAGTATTACCAGCACCATAGTTTTATTTTAAGATTCCAAATGATACTCACTTTTAGTTTTATTAAACACTGAAATTTAGCAAAATGTTCCTGGGCAAGGCTCATCTCCAAGAAAGCACAAAGGAGTGTGCTTATTTGAATTACATAATTAGACCCACCCTAATTCAGCAATGCATTTAAGCACATTCTTACATGTTCTTTTGAACTCGTGTTTGGCTCTGTAGGCAGCAAAGTTTATCTTTATTACTCACCATCTTCTGTCAACCCAAACTGGGTACTGACTGAACATAATATTTTCCAGCCTACTAACACTGAAAGCATTATTTCAGGCAACCAGAATATCAAGATCCTAATTTCCTGGTTTTATCACTGCACCTCATTACAATCAGTTACAAAGGACCACATGGATTCTTGATTGTAACCCTGTTTGAATCAATTAAATGAACAATGCAGTTAAATAAGCAACAAATTTGGCCCAGTCTCCGCCAAAGGTCATGAGAAAATGTCTAAGGAAACGGAATATTTCTCCCTCTAAAGGCATCATTCTTTTGTGTTTGGCAAATGTCAGTATTTTTCTAACGTCTGCATGCATCCATGATGACATCTGCCATACCAGCAGAGTAAAAGCCAATACAGGTTCACTGTGTTAACTGGTCTCAGTGAGAATTTCTTTGAACAGCATCTCACCCCTTCTGTAAGTCATCACACAGCACTCCCACACTTCCTGAGCACCTCGTAAAAATCCCCCTCAAATCCTTCTTTAAAAATGTATTAACTTTTAAGTGTCACCTACTAAAGAAGTAATTTGAAAAAATGTTGGAAGTTCCTAGAAGTCTGGAAGCCTCAAACACAGTATTCCACATGGATTGCACATTACTGGAAAACCACTATGAAAATTAATGTGTTCTTTTTTTCCCCTTTTTCTTTTTCCTTTTTATGTCTCACTTGTTTTCTTTATGTCTGTTGGTGTGCAAACCAGGCAGACTGAAACCTAAACTGTCCTTGCTTCTGAAACTTAGTGGCCTTCTCCAAACTACCCACTGCAAGTGACTCCTGTCCTGAGCAATCCTGCACAGTATGCCTAAAGTGTGACACTGTACAGACCAGAACTCTGCCAGAGCTGGATTAAAAATTAAACAGCAGTTCAGCACATGCTCTGCTTAGCTCAGTAATGCAAAAGTCGTCCAAGGAAACAGACTCATAAGGATCAAACACAGATCTTTAAAACCCTCTGCTTAGCTGCTCTGCAACCCCGGTGTCTGAAGGTGAGGCGTGTGAAGCCTTCAGCCCCTGCTTCCATGTGGAAGGTGCCCAGGATATATGTTTTGCCTCTGCACATGTCTGAGAAGAGCTTGGTCCCGCCCTGTCAGGGGCCTGGCTGCTCCTCTGCTCCTTAAGACTGAATTCAGGCCTGTTAACTCCCCAGACAATGACCTAACCCCTCCACTAGCCAACATGGCCCAGAGGAACTTGCATGCCCGCCTAGTAAACATGCTCTGCCTTACAAGACACAATTCATTTATTTGTTGCACCACAGACACAGCTGGGAAGTGAATATGACCCCAGAGTAAATGGTGAGATACCTACATATGTGAGAAGACATCTCCAACCAATTAGCAACTCTAATTAAAATTCAACTACTTTATATTACAGCTCTATTTACTCTAATCAACCTTAAATGGTGTCTGGAAGAAAAGAAAAATCAAAAATAGTAAAAGGATTTAAGGCTGTGAATCCCAAATAGAGATCCTTTCCCAGAACAAAATCAAACAAACAAGAAAAAACCAAAAACAACAACAACAACAACAACAACAAAAACAAACAAACAAAAAACCCCTACCAGAAACATGTACAGAGCTTGTCTACCACATGTAGTATCAGAACAGACACCTACATAAGCAGTTCAGCTGAAATCAGGAGCACACTTCTTGAGCAAATCTCTCTCATCGTGCTTTGGTTTACATTACAGAGTGGTCTCAGGATGCAAGATCTGGGTTCCTTTTAGGTGAAATTAATGCAGAAATGGACTTCAGGAGTATACACAGTGTGGACACCTGGCCCTCAACACCAACTGTTTTTACTGTACAGGCTTGCTCCAACTGGGCTGCATTTACTTGTTAATGTAGACGCAGAAATAAGAAGTTTGTCTGAATCAGTGCATGCACACAATAAGGCAAAGATACCATCCAGATCTAGCAAGCAGCAAAGCCACCTTTATTCAGCCCTGTGTCTAAATTAATTATCCTTTCTTCTCAGTGCTATATCTCCAAAGTCATTTCACTGTCCCTTGACTGCTGGAATGAATCTCATGGCAAATAGTTCAAGAACACATACTGCAGTGCTTTATTGCTTATTTCTCTCTTCAGAGAGAAAACATGTGCCTTTGTCTTAGTTCTTTAATGAGGTACAACATGCACAATGTGTTTTGTGGATCTTTCTCAACTAAATTCCCCCAGGTATTGCATAGAGAACTTTGGTATTTACATTGCATTTTGCAGATTCTAACAGCAGAAGATTGGGGTGCAATAATTTTCATTTTAATGACAACAAAGTCCCTTCTATAGATCCAATCTGTCTCTGCTTTCTTTTTTTTTTTCTATAAAAGGTTTAGTCAAGTGCTAGTATTCTTAAGTTAATATGACAAGTTTGTCATACTGTTGTTGCTGTTATTACTATTTATTGAGTGACACATTAAAAGGAAAGACACTTTGTAAATTGAGATTGCTTCCAGCCAGCTGTGCTTAAAAGCCTGATCCATGTATGTATTTCCAGCAATTTGAAAACTAAGCAGAAATAGGGGCAATTGAAATATGACTCCTTCATGAAGATGAGCTCTTCATCTGACTTCATGCAAACTAGTGATACTGTACTTGCAACATAGTTACTGTTTTGCTTCCATTCTTCTGGAAAAGTACTGACTCAGGTACTTTTTCACCTTTTAATTTATTTGTAATAATTAGGTTTGTGGGATAGCAGATGAAACCAACTGGGGAGTCCTCCACATCTGCATGAGTGTGAGAATAAAATAAAAGCTACTTTTACTCATCCACTGTATGAAAATGGTAATGTAACACAATGGCTATCTCATCTGAACTAATAGCTACAATAATGCTCTTTTTAAAACAAGAACAGTAAACTGTAGATGAGTAAATCAGTTATTAAATTGTAAATTAATAAATGAAAATACAATGAAAGTGGAAATGGGCATCCCAACAGCTTATTGGTGACTACTAGGATTGAAAAAATCTGTTTTCCATAAGGAAATGGGAAGTTAGAAAATAACCCTCATATAAGGTGGTGTATTTCTCTTCCTGTTTGGAAAAAATAAAAGGCTAACAAATTAAGTTATTTAGATTATATAACCTCAACCATTCTGTTTTCTTTAAACTGACGTAAATTCAGATTACTGTGACTGATGCCCACAGCTGCACCAATGTAAAATTTGTGTCAGGGCAAGGTGCAGAATGAAAAGGTTCCAATTTTTCATTTTTAAATTAATTATTTCATTCTTTGGTTTTTTTTTTTCCCCATAGGAATTCCTATTGCATAGAGTTTACCTCCTCACATATTTATTCTCATGTTTTGTACCTATGCATTCAGATAAGGAAAACAATTATTAATAAATAACAAAGTAAACTCTCCTAAGTCCACTGAGAATACAGTTCAGACATTTTGCACTTCCTCCCACCAAAGACAGTAGAATTTTTCCTGCTGACTTCAAAGACAGCAGCATCAAGCTCACCAAATGCTATCTTCAAGAAAAGAACAAACCCAGGAAAGGGATTTGAAGTCTCATTTCAAAAGTACCAAGATGAATGCTGAAGACTAAAATCAGTTTTCAGACTGGTGCTTTAACACATCTCTGTAGGCTATACTGCCTCATGATTTTTTCAAGCACATATTAATACAAACTCAGGCCTACCTTTTAAAGTTTCCATAATGAACTTTTTAAGATAGTAAATATATTTGGCATCATCTCTCTTGGTAGTACCAGAAACAAACCAGCTGTTCTCCACAATGAATATTTGGGGCTTGTTATATTCACTGTTTATCCAGTAAAGGAGTTGCCTCAGGCTGATTGATTCCAACTGCTGGAATTTCATGTGTGAGTCCAAAAGCTGGAAACTCAGGGTAGCTCCGAAAGAAAGAGCAAAAAAGTCTGCTGTTCCCTTGATATACTTCTTCTCAACTTCACTGAATTCAGGCAATAGAGATGAGAGGTTGCTCTTCATACTCTCTGGATAGTCACCATCTATAAATATGGGCTTAGCAAACCAGCCAAGCACAAAATCAAGGGATTTTTGACATTCTTTTATGTTTTTTTCAGTCATACGTTGAGGTTTTATCCAGTGTGAGCCAAGGGCAATGGACACTTTTCCTCTTTGAGTTGGACGAAAATGGTCATTGTAGAGATGCCAGACTTTAGCATGAGCCTGTTGAAAAGAAAGACTGTAATTAAAGGACCCAAAAATCCATTTTAAATAACACAATTAGTCTAAGTACGGACAGCCAGTGTCACGTTGTAATCAAATAAACACGGCACTTAAGGGCTCAGTCTTATTCTTTCATCAGTAATTTACAACACCTAAATTAACTTTTCTTAAATACCACATATCAACTAGAAATTGCTAGTTGGTTGAGGAAAGATGGATCTCAGTTTTCCAAGAGATAATATTCCAGGTAGTGAACACACTTTTAGCTAGGCACCTTAATTAACTTTTATTATTGAATTCAGACATACTTCTAGTACTTATGAAAATGAAAACGCATTTAACCAAACATATTTCAAAGTATGTTTTCATTATAGGAATATCACTTTATCTGTAGATTCACAGATATATAAAGAAGGAAAGTCTATTCTTAAGAACTGCCTAGATCTCTGAAACAATACAAAACAAAAAAACACCTTTGAACTTATTCTCTTTCAATCAGAACACACAGTATAGGAATATATAACTACCAATCTGGATTTTTAAAAGTCTGGTGAAAAGCAATTTGCCACAGGTCCTGAAAAATTATTCCAATAATTCAATTTAATTTATTAATATTTACTATTTACTCCTAGCATCTGATTTTAAGCATTTCTCTTGGTATAATTTTATCTTTTACTGTGAGGGTGTATTTTCTACCAAATTTCTTTCCTGTGATCTTACTTAGTCGGTTGAAACAGTCTCTTGATGTTCCCTTTTAAAGCTAAGCAGACTAAGTTCCTGAAGCCTTGCATTACCTTCAGGCATTACCTTCAAGCTCTTTAACCATTCTCATCGCTCTTCTCTGATTCTCTTCCAATTTGTCATCATCAGTTTTTAACTGCAGAAGCAGAACTGGACATAAAATGCCAGTAGTAGTCTTGCCAGCAGTAAAACCAGAGACAATCTAATACACTATTTCTGCTTATATGGCCGTAGAATTACACTGTGAGCATATGCTCATCTTAACTACCATATCTCCAGACCTATTCCTCACCTAAAACATATCTTTTCTTTGAACCTATCTTATCAAAGAATTTTGACTGCTCCATGAATCAATATCCCATCTCTTGCCATTTACACATTCATAGAAATGGTCGTTTTTTTCTAGGTCATTGGTAAAAATGTAAAAATATGAGATTTGACAACACAAAACTGGCCAATACCCCAGAGTTCTGTGCAGTCCTCCAGAAGGACCTCAGAGATGGGCAGAGAGGAACTGTCTGAAGTTCAACAAAGGCAAATGCAGAGTTCTGCACCTGGGGAGGGACAACCCCTGCACCAGTATGGGCTGGGAGCTGACCTGCTGGAAAGCAGCTCTGTGGAGAAGGACCTGGAGGTCCTGGTGGACAACAAGCTGTTCATGAGCCAGCAGTGTTTTCTTGTGGTCAAGAAAGCCAACGGAATCCAGGAGTGCATTAGGAAGAGCATTGCCAGCAGGTCAAGGGAAGAGATCCTGCCCCTCTACTCAGCCCTACTGAGGCCACATCTGGAGTGCTGTGTCCAGTTCTGGACCTCTCAGTATAGGAGAGACATGGAGCTCCTGGAGCAAGTTCAGCAGAAGGTAGCAAATGATTAAGGGGCTGGAGCACCTCTTTTAAGGAAAGGCCTGTTCAGCCTCAAGAGGAGATGACTGAGAGGGCACATCATCAACGTCTATAAGTATCTGGAGGGAGGGTGTCAAGAGGATGGACCAGGCTCTTCTTAGTGGTGCCAAGCAATATGACAAGAGGCAACGGGCAGAAAATGATGCAGAGGAAGTTCCACCTGAACATGAGGAAGAACTTCGTTACTGTGCAGGGGACCGTGCACTGGAACAGAGCCCAGAGAGGTTGTGGAGTCTCCCTCCTAGGAGATATTCAAGAACTATCTGGACACAATCCTGTGCCATGTGCTCTAGGATAACCCTGCTTGAGCAGGGAGGTTGGACCAGATAAACCACTGTAATCCCTTCCATCCTTACCCATTCTGTGATCCCGTGAGTCTGAGATCTACTCATTAGAATAAAGCCTACCTAATAACTATTCCCAATTTACAGCTGCATTTTGAGATTCATCAGTTAGTATTTGTTCATATGTGCTGTGATGACATGAACCTCCATTCTTACCGTACAGTCATAGATCCAATGAATATATATGACAGATAATTAATCAAATTTTCACTTGCATTTTTAGCTCTCCCTGGAATATAAACTATACACAAAGACTTATAATTTTACTCCATGCAATTTGCATGTTGGCAAATTTTATAATTAATTTATTGTTAGTTGCTGTTCAGTTTGTTTTTCACATACTCTTACCATTTATGCTTTGAACTATAATCCCCTCCAGTTGCCAGCATTACTAGGAAAATAGTTTTTGACATAGTCATTGTTAATTATCCAGGAAAACAGCAAATTCTATCATTTTACTGTTCTTTCAGAATTTTAATGATCACAGCTGGGAGAAAAACAATTGGAAGTAAAGGACAAGTAAAGGTAAGATCAATAATCAAGGCTCAGTTCAGTAGCCCCCAAACAGAAATCTGCTGCCTTTGAGTATACAAAACACCTGTGCAGATCTGACACCAGCTCTACAGGAGACTAGATCCATACCCTTTTAGACTGGTCGCCAAAACCCAAAAAGAATCTTGGAAACTGATTCAGATACACTCACATAGGTGTGTACTGCGATTCACAATCTCTCAGTCGCTCTCATTTATAATACATCAATAGCTGCAATAAACATGATGCAGCACAACCATCTGTCTGTATTAATACAACAGATTTTGATGCTAGCGAGAAATTACAGTAATGACTTCGAAGTCTCATGTCAAAAATAAGAGCTGACCTAAGTACAGACTTCATTTTACTCCACAGCAAAGCTCCATTACACTGATGAAAGAACAAAAGACATTACACATCATGACCAACACCCAACACTTTAAATATGATTTTTAAAATGCCACTGGGAACAAATTTATCACCACTTGCAACTCAAATTTGCACTCCCAAATTTTCCCTCATAAAGGAGCCATATATTCTTCCTCTGTTGGATGTGACTCATGTCCAGATTTCCTGTCTCAAATGCTAAGATACCAGCACGCACACTCTCAAACACACAGTTTCATCTCTGTCATCTGCACTTGCTGCCCATCCATAAAACATCTCAAGGACTGTGGAGGACTTGCCCCGTAACTCTTGGCCCTCCCTGTTTCCTATCAGTGGAGAGAGATCTTCCAGAATTTATGTAGCTCTGGATCTACCACGAAGAAAGGAGGAAGGGAATCCTGCTGGTTATCCCTCTATATGCACAGGGAGGGGCTATTTACTCCCTCATTGCAATGAACAAAGATGAAGTGTAGCAATGTGAGATCATCTCACTCAACTTTACTTTCTAAGCAAGTCACCTAGTCTGTCTCTACAGAAAATGAGACAACTTTTGTCTAAGACATGCAGGTGAGTCACTCTTTGGGTGTCCCTCTCTCTCTACTGATAACAGACAAAACTTGTTATTCAGTTTAAACAAGACATGTTCTATAAGTAGATGAAAGCAGACAAGAAGAAGCCCACTTAAACATCTGCCCTCTAGAGTGTGCATGAAGTGGAATTGTATTATTTCCATTAAAAAAATGCTAAACCTAGAAAACAGTGACCTGAATAGCCTGGCAAGTCTCACAGAGCACTACTTATACTGAGTTAATGGATTCCCAAGTACAATCTACTCAGCACAGCAGTCACAGTGTCACACCCAGCAGGACCACTACCTAGGTCCCAATAACTCTATGGATTAGTGGCAGGATTTCATGTACCTGAATGTGAGTGGCAGATATGACTCAGGACCCAATGTGAGACCTTGGTCTTCCGGAGCAGCAACTGGAGGCCAGGGTAGCTCAAGCGACACTGTACCTCGCCTGGGACAATTGAAACCTTCTAGATATCTATTACCTAAAACTGGAGTTATGTGCAGACAAAATAAGTAGGAAACAACCCACCATCAGTTCCTTTATATTTATCTGAAATCTTACTTCCAGATCACAGTGACTTATTTTTAGCTCACGTCCAACTAGGATTAAGGTCATGGCAATCCACACTTCAGTACTTCTACTGACATACAGCATGGTGACTCCATGTCCCTGTTTTTGCAAGATCCTGACGGGTACTTTGCTCCTTGTTAGCTCAGACAGGTGTGCAGTGCTCATAAATCACCTGGCTTGGTTGAAAAACCTTACTAAAAAAGGCTGCTGACAAACTGTCTCTAGGAAGGGTTGTGTAGTCACCTGTGTGTTATGAGCAGAACAGCTAAAACTTGTGTGCTGGTCTCCAGGCTGTTGAATTTGGGTAGTCTTGTTGTTATTACTTGGATTCAGAGAGCAGCACATACTGTTAGACACCAAACACTTGACTGACATCTTTCCGGGGGGTAATACCTAGATTCTTGAGCTTATTGAGCCTTGAGCTAAACTGGCATTGGGAAGCTGTGGATTAGGATGGGTGCTCTCTGTGCAGAGAGAACAGGAACAGACAATCAGGAATAGACCATCAGGAAAGCTTTTAAACAGCATCCACTTTATTCCTAAAGTGCTTTCATCCCTAAGAAAATCATTAAGTTCTATATCACCATGCAACTGAAAGACATAGTTTGTCCTTAGCTAAGCCCATTTCTATGTTTGTACTTCACTCATGTTTCAGGCTGTTTTCAAGTGGATATGTTCTTCTGCTGCTGACTTTCCCACCCATATACCCATTTGGACCACACTCTATCTATGTTCAACTATGAAACTCTGACATTGGTCGTATTTGATCAGCCTTAAAGAGATCTCTGTATGAATCAAAGTCAGCAATGCCAAAACCAAGCCTTGATGAAGTGTCAAACACATTTCCAAAGCAGAAAAAAAACCCCTGCAACATCATAGTGTGGACTAGTCCTACCTTCTTCCTGTAGTGATAGCAGAAGTAATTCAACACAAGCAAACAAGCTTCACAA